GGTGGAAGAAGAGAAAGAGGAGAATAGGGAGGAGGAATAGGTAAAGGAGGAGAAGGAGGAGGAGAAAAAGGAGGATGAAGAGGAGGAGCTAGTAACGGAATCTCCATTATTTTAATTGCTTCCATCAGGGCGAACGAGCCGCAGGACAACTCCGTGGAGACGTTTTACGGGCAGCTGTAAGGACACGACCGCTATCAAGGGGGATCCTGTGGTTTTAACAGAATTTCGCGCCCGGACCTACATCCTATGCCTCCTCCTTTATACTGTTAAAGAAGCCCGGCTAAAGTATTATCTTAATTAGAAACGTAACCGACACTAACCTCTTTGTCTTTTCTTTTCCTACCCTTTTTCCTCTTTCTCTTTATCTTATTTTGTTGCTCTCTCTCTCTCTCTTTATCTTATTTTGTTGTTCTCTCTCTCTCTCTCTCTCTTTCTCTCTCTCTCTCTCTTTCTCTCTCTCTCTCTTTCTCTCTCTCTCTCTCTTTCTCTCTCTACTTCATACACGTTCTGCACTTGCGCAATGAGTACTGTTCATATAAATACTGTGAACTAAACGCTTTTACAGTGTATTACGCGTTGATAACTGTTTTCTTTGAAAACTATGATATTTTGTGAGTTTTAATATTTCAAAACAAAAGACCAGCAATAATAGTCGATTTGCACGAAGAATTCATATTCATTCGTTTGATTCAAGTTAGCAAATGAATTCTTATTTGCAGAGGAAATTTAAAAATCATTCCTGTTAATAAATGCATCTCGAACTGTCAAAACTATAACTAAATTGTTGTCCTCCGTCTCTTCCTTGTCATCAGAGCTATAGATTGATGGTCACGATGAATAATGGCAGTTCCACTAAGCTAAGATACCGTTGAAAATCGTCAGCAAAATACTACTCTCCGCGTTCCCGCAAATTAATGGTAGAGCACGCGTTCTTTTAAAGGATCCCGTTAAAATGCGCGATAATAAATATTGCGCGAACTGAAACTATTATAATAGTATACTTGATGAAATAAGAGACAATTGTTTATGTGTTTTATTTAATGATGTGTAATTAGTTGTACTGGCTATTTCTGAAGGAGTGATAGCCAGTACAACTATAAGACTTGAGAGTCTAGATGTCGTGAACCTAAAGGATGTAACTTAACATGACTTTTTAGCGTCTTTAGAACTATCCACGAAAATTGTAGTGAAAGGGAATAAAAAGGGCGGAGTTGAAGTATGATGTGAGCATGGATAGGAAAGGAATAGATACCCATTGGTCGAGAGTGAGTCAGAATAGTTCATTGAAATGTTTAAATATTCCATATGCATGGAACATTTAAACATTTATTCTTCCCTTCATTCTAGTGATCGTGTAGACTAGGTGGTGTCAATGGTTATTTCAATGCTAGGCGCTAGATAAACCTTGGCTCGTCGTGCTTAGGCATTTATTTTCACTATTTATTTATTCCCTGGGTCGACACATTATTGAAAACTAGGTACTTGACTAAAAATGCCTAAGTCCGAACAGAGATGGCCATGTGTTTTTTATCTATGTATTTTCTTAGCGAGTATCCAACGAATTCCCAAGAGCAGATATTTCTAATAGTGATATATGACCCTTAGGAGAAAGTACTGTGAACAATTGAGGAACGCACGTGTGCGTCAATATTCCTAAAGAATATCTAAGAAGTGGATTAGAAAGATAAAGGAAGTACCTAGCTAGAAAAAAGATGTTAAAGACGTACTATGTATAACATAACTTGCTAATTAACTCAAATGTGAATCAGGTACACATAATTCAGCTATAGTTTTGACAACTCGAGATACATTCATTAACATGAATGATTTTTAAACTTCCTCTGCAAATAAGGATTCATTTGATAGCTTGGATCAACCGAATGAATATGATTCAGTTCAGTGATGTTAAATGAATATGTCCATAATGAATATGATGACAGTGAAAAGATAGCTATCATCATTCGTAAATTTCAAGGAGGTACCTTCAATCAGGTTGGTTATGGATATAGTAAATCGCAATCACAGCAACAGGTATTGCTGACAAAGACTTTAGCTTTGCTTATTTAATTGTCGAAGTCTGCAGGCTTATTATGTAAACATGAATGATGCAATAACGCAACGATCTAAGTTCTTGTAATTATCAAAGACATGTCTGAATAATGAAATAAGAATAATGAAACATTTCTAATTTTGATTGTGTTGTATGATTAGAACATTTAAATAGGAGAAGTGGAGAAGTAATGATTTACAAGAATGCAAATGATAAGACAAACCAAATGGTTGTGACTTTTAACATGGATTAGTATTTGAAACAAATAAATTCAGTGAGTGTACATTTCATAAGAATAGATGATCTTTGCATGATCTAATGTTACAAGGACTGAAATCGATGCAGTATTTGTCTCCCTATTTAAACAATTTACAATTGAGAATATTTATACCTACTTTTGATTATCATAACCCAATAATTTTATTCTTAGAATATAAATCGACAGAGATTAATGAATATAGATTAAAATATTTAATTAAATTACGTTATGTTTATTCATATAGCATATTATCGCTTATCGCGTTCTAATCCTAATATCCTTAAAACTTATTCACATCAAGAGAAAAAATTAATGATTTTAACATTTAAAAAGAAATGACGATAAGAAATTTCATATTTAACGCGTAACAATTCTAAATTCAATTTTTTTATTTATTTATTATTATTCCATATTTATTATTATTCGTATCTATATTATTTAATCGCACATCTTTCGTACTTTGTCGATTGTTCTTTCTCATTGAACTTGTCTACTGTATTCTTTTCTCCTTTTTTATCTCATAGATACGCATACACTTCTATACATTCTCTTTTCCTATCTTTATCTTACTTCACTATCTCATTTTTTTCCTTTACCGAGACTATTTGTCTTTCAATTTCTCTTTCTTTCTTTCTTTCTTCCAAATGATCACTTTCCCTGCGCCTTAAATCTTTCCGTATTACTGTGATTAGTAAAAAGTGAGGTAGAGAAAGAGTAAGAAAAATATATACCTATATATAAGAAAAGTGCTTAACAATGCAATTCGATGTTAAGCAAACGCTTATCTCGCTTCTCTTATCTTCGCTTTCGTTGAATTAATTGAGACGATTAATTATCACCCGCGTATCGGTTAAACTCAGCAGTTCTCGATCGATATTAACTTTAATTCGACGCAAACGTGATAACGAATCGTATATAACATAGTTAACTTAAATTACTCGATTCCCTAATCGAATAACGATTTAATACTGTCTCGTAAGTTGGAAATCAGATGATTGCAAATTTATCCGAACATTCCTGGCAATGTAAAGGGCATCCCTTTTCTTTCCTTTTAAACTTTTCTCTTTCGCAAAGAACAACGAGTTTCAGTGTAGATCTCAATTATTTGTTTTTCTCGATTATATGAACCAAACTCTTGAAATTAAACAGAAAGAAAGAAAGAGAGAGAGAGAGAGAGAGAGAGAGAGAGAGAGAGAATTGGGATGGATTTAAAAGAATCGATCCTCTTAAATTGTATCTCATTCGGAAACGTTCAAACGTCAGTCAATAGATCAAAGAATAAGTACGAATGACATCTATTCGTGATTTTTATATTTATTTTAAGGTTATAACTATTTTGTATGGTTGAAAGAACGATAAACATTATCAATATCAAATAGATTTAATGTATTCCAAAAGATTTAAAGGATTGATGTAATTCTACAATGATACAATCACGATTTGATCACAATAACATTCCCGAAATCCTGTTCACTTAGGAAACATATGTATAATGCTTGATCGTGAATTCGAATCCTCGGAAAATCCAATAGCTTGCTGAGATTAAGTATCGGCCAAGAACAATCGGGGCTTGTCCTCATCGTGTCCCTCGGCAAAAATCGGCTGGTAAGGAGAGGAAGGGAGTCCCGAGAATTTCTCTTGATCGTCATAAGAGAGAAAGAGAGAGGGAGAAAGAGAGAGAGATAGAAAGAGAGTGAGAGACAAATCGTCGGTCCTTAGCATTTGCATGAGCGCTTCCCTCGTTATTTCGATCTCAGTTGCGATCACGCGAATCGTTCTATCCAACCATCCCCTTTCTCCAGTCTTTTCTCCACATCTTTCTCGTTTCTTCTTCGATAGCGGAGTTGAACGACCGGATAAAACGAGAAACGAAAGGAAACGCATGGAGACACCCCATCCAGTTGGATAGAGAAAGAGAAAGAGAAAGAAAAAGAGAGAAAGGGAGAGAGAGAGAGAGAAAGAGAGAAAGATCGGAACACAGACTCGAGCGGAATGCATTGTGGCTTCAAAATGAAATTGTCGTTTCCCATTCGACAATATCTTTTCCTCTTTTTTGTTTCTTTTTTTCTTTATCTTCTTTATACCCTCCACGATCTTTCTGCTGCATCTGTTTCGAAGAAGTACTTGTATATAGATATGTGTATATCCATATACAGATACATTACGATCTAGAAAGAGATCTACGAAATGGATTTCTCAATGTTCTATCCGACGTATTTTCGATTTATGATAAATCAAGATCTCGTCTAACGGACCCTTTCGTATTCATATTATTTAAATGCAAAGGGAAAATCTCCATTCATTCAGGTTTAATGAAATGTGTAATTTGAAATCAATTTTGAGATATCATTTTTAGATAAATATCTAATAAAATAGTAGCACATAATCTTTGTATTATAAGAGTTATCGTCTTCCACGTTTTCAGTAGACGTAGCCGAGGCATTTTATTTTGCAATGTTTTCGAAACAAAACCTCGGCTCGTGTATTCCTCTCTTGAAGGAATTGAAAAACAGAGGACAGAGAGAAGAATTGTTCTATAGGAAAGACTACGAGCCCCATTGAAATGGACATCGTGATCGGACGAATTCTTCTGCGTTTATAGATAGATCGATTGATTGAAAGGGAGAAAAAGAGAGAGAGAGAAAAAGAAAGAAAGAAAGAAAGAAAGAAAAACAAAGTTCTTTACTTTCTCTCTCTCTCTCTCTCTCTCTCTCTCTCTCTCTCTTCTTCTTCTTTCCTCTCTCCTCTCTCTCTCCCGTTTACTCACATTTACTCACATATATATATATATATATATATATATATATATATTGTAATTAAATTATATATAAAAATTACACTTATAAAAAAAATCAATATATCAAAAAATGAAGGTTGCCAAAGATCTTATCCTTCTTTTTTTTTTATGTAACGAGTTTTTATGAATTTTATTTCATTATATTAGTATCTAATAAAAGGAAATCAAATAACTTCTCTGTTAGATAATTTTCTGTCCCTGTTAAATTTCGAAAATAGTGAAATTAATATAAATATTTATCCATTCTATCAATCTGTAAAGTTTCGTTAAGATTAAAGGATTCCATTTTTTCTATGTCTCCCATAAGACAATTATTTATCTGTTGAACCTTAAGTACACAACTTCGATTAAAACTTAAAATCTAAAATTCTTTTTAAAAGATCGAATTCTTTCTAAAGAAAAAAAAAAGAACAAAAAGAAAAGATTCTCAGAAAAAAAGATAGAAAAGAAAAGAAAATAATAAATATAGTTTAATCATAATTTTTTACAGTACTCTCTGTGAACTGAATAGATTTAAATAGATCAGTAAAAAGAGAAGAAATTCTAATGTACGTTCGAATGAAAAATTACGTTCGATATTAAATCTAACTGTCCCTGTTCTTGATACCATCCCACAATCCCTGCCCTAACCTCCGTTAGCATATTATGAAACATCGTGTGCGTGCGTGGTTTCTTTATTTTTTCTACGTGGGGAAGGTACAAGGGCGAGGACAATGAAAGAAGGGCGGGTGAAAAAGAATTATAGGGGAGAATCATGTGCACAAATTAGCGAACTACCATCGGGGAACAGTTTGCATGCCTGCCACGTTTCGCACTCTTTGGTACATAAGCGTTTTGCGAAAGGAAGAGAGAGAGGGAGGGTAGAAAGAGAGAGAAAGAGAGAGAAAGAGAGAGAGAGAGAGAGAAGAAAAGAAAAAAAAGGATAAGGTTACCCTCCTATACTTTTCGAAAGGACGGAAACGATCTTCGCGAATTATCTCTGTCCCTTTGGGGAGAAACTTCGATATCGTGTCTGTGTGTGTACGTGAGTGTGTATGTACACATACGTGTGAGAGGATGAATATAAATGTATGTGTAACGTGTTTTAGGGAGGAGGACAAGAGGAGATTTCGAGGGGTTTTAGGAGATTCGTCGGAGCCGTTATCTTCCGTAGGCAGATATTGCCTATTGCGCGTCTCTCTGTGGAAATA